ATTGCATATATATCTTCCGAAGGTACAAATAAGGTAAAAAATTCTTCATCACGACGATTCAAAAATGACGAATATGTCATATTCATAGCGCGAGCTGTACAGAAACCCATCCTTGGTTTTGGTATGCATTCCCGAGATGTGTTAAAAAAACACTTAACCATCTTTTAATTTCTTTAATATTATATAAATTATTATTCAAAAATGTTTTACAGTACAACTTATTATTTTCGAAAGAAACGAAATAGTCGAATACTTATACCTAAAGGCCACAAATTCGCGTATAAAATCACATTATAATAGGTTAAAGATACTCCGAGTTTATATTGTAGTTAACCCTAATTAAGTCATCAACCGAAGTACCCTTCTTAATCAAAATTTACTATCAATATTAAAATGCTTAGTTACATAGGAAATAACATCATCAGCAGATGGCTTAAACGGTGAAATATGCAGCTACTTCTTAGCCAGTAACATCAAGCTCAGAAATAGCATTATGGCCAACAACTAAATTCTTAGATCTGGTAGAATTTTTGTTCTGTACAAAAGCAGCAATATTATTACTTGCTGAGGTTGAGTTGGTCGTCCGCGCAACTGACGAAGAGCAGTTACGTGTAGAAGAGGTGTGAGAAACCGTAGGGGTCGTAATAATAGCAGCTGTAGAAATTACGGATTCGTCTTTGATGAGATTGCAGCTGAGTAAGCAGTCGTAGGGGAATCGGAATCATATGATTACAATAAAAGCAACAGCAGTAGATACAGAAACGCCAGAGTCTGAAGAGACTGCAAATGTGTCATGCGAGTGATGAGAGGAAGGTGGAGTTGAAAGCGTGAGTGCAGGTTGTAGCGTTGGCGTAGGAAAAGGCAGAGAACAAGAAGTAGCTGCAGTAGTACAGTCAGCGACAATCTTATTGACTTTAAGGTTAGCAGTGCATAATTTAACAGCTGATGCTGTTCGTAATTTCCTTGTAATATATTTACTACCACTAGGCTGAAGTTGTTTGACATCCGATTGAATAAACACTCCTTTGAGGCTAAGTTAACTTGCCGAATGCCACTGTCAGCATTTCTTGTACTTAATAGCATTTTCTTCCATCTTTAACCAAAATTTATTACTTATTTTTTGATCCAACTGTTTTTTTTTGTTTGTTCAATAGTCAAAAATCCAAGAGCACATAAAAACTTGGTTAACCTTCTCAATTGTCAACAACAAACTACAAATCCAAATTAGGTGATCATGCCAACATATAAAAAACCCTTAATTAAATTAAAAGATTGAACTCCTCGGGCGGTCGCAGTTAAAATAAATGACTCTCGGCTTTGCCTAGAACAGTGTTTTCAAATGAACTACTTTTGCGAGTTTGGGGCTTTCGGCTGCTCTTCAATAAATAACCCTGACCGAGTATAATAAATATATCCAGAAATAAAAAATTGTTCATGAAGTAAACTGATAAAACCTATCTAAAGTAAAATAAATAATATGTATATAAGGAACCTGAAATGTAATTCAACAATAATATATTTTAATACAATATTTATAACAATATTATCATTAAGAATACGACCCTGCGGGGACTCCTAAAAACTGATGTTTATGCAACCTTTGCAAAAGCACCACGACAATCCCCATATGATCCGTAGCTAAAGCTTATGGATGCAACTACCCATTTCAGTTACCAGCCGTCCATAACTGGCGACGTAGAGGCGAGATAAATACGCGAGTTATCGATGCTTCTGAGAGCGGCGAAATGTTGCCAGCTGCCAGTGTGTTTGCACTCTTTTGAACAAATTCATAATTTTAGTCAACGAATTTCTGAGCACGTTGTTATTAAATCCCCGTCACACTCTGGATATTAATATTACAATTACAAACAATATTTTAGTATTGTTCTTACTGGGTACTCGTTTATAGCAGCGGATGTCGTGTAGCAGATGTCATGGTAGTCAGAGTGAAGGAGTGATGGATTTTACAAGATAGTAACATTGGAAAGAAGATTTTAAATAATACAATTCATCTACTAAATTCAACTGCATTAGGCAGCAGTAATGTCGTTCTGCCATATTACTTTGTTGAAGACGCGACATTTCCGTTAAAGGCAAACTTAATGCGTCCATACCCCGCTCGAAATCTCACATATGATAAGGGAAAATTTAAAAAAAGATTATCCCGAGCGTGTGTTAAAAATAAAATAAAAATTTAAATAATATTTAGCTTATATTGGTTTTCACTTAACCATTTTGGTCTTTTCTGTCCGAACTTAACCTTCACAATAAATCATTGCGAAGTGAGTTTCCTTCATATCGAGTTGCAATCTTCGCCCCGATGGGCTTCTAATAAGCGCCTCGGGAAGTAGAAGGATGAAGGCAATGATTCTCTCGGGATAGCCGTCCACCTCGGCAGAAAGGATAAACTGCAGACTCATCAGCAATAAAAAAAATACGTTGGAGATGCTCCAGGTGATATCCACGTTATTAGAAATCCACCCGTTGCTTTGTCCCTAATCCAGTTCTTACAAGAATCGCGCTCGTCAAATAAAAATAAAGCAGGAAAGAAAGTGAACCAGACAAAAGGGCTGGCAATTGATCTGGTTACTGGCAGCCAAACCCAACCAAATGGCCAGTGAAGCTAAGCCTAAATGGATCCAAAGCCTCTAAGGACCGGTAAAAGGCTACGGAAAACTTAGGATATTATACAGAAAGCCCACTTCTCCCGTACGGAGAAGGCAGCTAAGAACTGCGATATACATACAGTTTCAGATACCTGTGGGAGTAGCGGGACTTCGGGAGGCGCAGTGAAGGACCAAAAATCGTACGTAGGCGCAACCAATTGTTTCATATACGCCATCATAAATATTTGTAGACCCGGAGAGAATATGATTCCTGAGAAGCAGTCATTGCTAATAGAGGCATTTAGTGACTTTCTTATGGACCTCATCTTGACGTCTTCTTCAGAAAAGTTTGTTTCTCAGATCGCCACTCAATTGGTACAGAATCCATATAGACTGCTCATCAATTCTGTTCAAGCCAAGCCGAGACTTGTGGGCAGCACTATAGGAAAAGATGTCACCGTTCTGGGTATCCACTAGGATTCCTTTTCCTTAACCCGTGATTGGTAGAGTACGACTTTCGTTCTCTACCGTCAAGTTTAGAGATGGGCACCGTCAAGTTGCGGCCGAACCTCCGAAACACGGAGGTCCTATGCTAGTTACGACTGTCGTCGGAGTAGCGTGGAGTCCCCGAATCTGCTTCACCAGGAACGTAGTACCTCCGGAGTTGGGTTATCGCCCCCTAACTACAAACTCTTTTATGCCAGCTGCGTGGCAAGACCAAGGACTTGCATGTCAAAAAAAAAATTACGGCTTTTATCATTTAGCAGATCTGTCATCCAGCAATATCTCGGTGGTTAAGCCGGCAAAATACCCCCTGCTTCTGGTGTTTCTTTATCTGTCGTTCGACTCCCATACTTTAGACCACACGGAATAGCCGAGAAAAGTAACCGAACATGCGGGAAAACCAAGTGTGCAATTAACTATGGAAACTGATGTTAAATCTCATCGTACAGCCGGGTACAGCTCAGACAGTTACGGCAAGACTGTCTTTATTTAGCTAATTTGACACCCAGGACCTTCTCACTATTAACGTAGGTAGTTGATTTGCGTCCACGCCCCTACGTAAGAGTAGGAACATGAAGCCATCAAAAAATATCCATAAACAAAACCAAGGAAGATTCGCCGTGGCAAACCATCATTCACAACAGACAGCCGAACGATTTCCTACTCGGCTTGCACACTTGCTTTCTGAGAGCACTCATCAGCAACTTGATATAAGCATCTTAAACTCCCTACGTACCACCGCTACAGAAACCATTAGTCTTCGGCAGTGCCAGAAAAAGAGCTGGTATTGAATGCCGAACTGCAGTGGAGAGAAAACAGACTGCTTGCATCGTAGCCATGCGATCGACCGCAACACTTGCGGAGTGGGATAGTTACTGAGAACTGAAGAGGGAAGCAAGACGCATTTAGGGCAGACGGTCTACCGGTAGAGCTATGCGAGCACAGCGGTGAAGAGCTGACAAGGTACATGTATCAGCTGCTTTGCATGCCCTATATAAACTCTGCTCAATCCATAAAAATAGTGATACCACAGTCTGCGCAAATTACCGTAGAATAAACCTCCTTAACATCGCTTACAAGGTCCCATCGAGCGTTTTGTTTAAAAGCCTAAAGAACCCCGTCAACAAGCTGATTGAGCTTTACGCAGATATTTCCAATGCGCCAAATATTAGAAAAGACCTATGGAAAGAGGATCGACACACACCACCTCTTCGTCGATTTTAAAGCCGCCTTCCGCAGCACAAAAAGGGACCGATTTTACTCCGCTATGTCTGAATTTGGTATCCTCTTAAAACTTTACGTCTATGTAAGCTCACTTTAAGCATCGCAAAGTAGGTGTTCTAGGCCTAACAAGGTTTCAGACAGGATGATTTCTTAACTTATTGCTGGAGAAAATAATATAGGCTGTAAAGTTGAATAGAGAAGGAAAAATCTTATATTAGATTTTACAACTGTTGGCGTACGTCGATGATATTGACATCATTGACCTCAACAACCTCTGCTTGAGTTCTGCTTTCTCCAGACTGGATGAGGAAGGCCTCTCTTGGCGAACAAAAACCAATCTCCACAATTGGCTCGTTATACCCGTCCAACTATATAGGGCAGAAGCGTGGACGATGTCAACGTTATAAATAAAATATATAGAGGTATTCTTAAGAAAGTTAATGGAAGTAAGTTCAAAGCCATATGTTCTCGATTTTCCTATCCCCATCGCTGCGAGCTAAATCGCCTTGAATGCAAAATTATGACTTTACTTAACGAAACAAATTTTTATGTCATGATTGCTGACACTTGAATGAAAACCGTGCATTCTATTAATAAATATTATAATATTATATAAAAAATCTATGATTTTAAATAGTAGTTTACAGAGCTTTATTACTTTTTCAGATTTATGGAAGGCATCAATCAGCTCTTCAGACATATATGTCTGTCGCATTTTCTACATAGCTTAGCTATTTATGGGTTTGTGCTTTTCGAGATGAGCTTTGGCTTGGTCAGTAATAATGAGATTTTTTAATCGTAGTTTAAAACTTCTTGTAGGATTATGTAAACAAAATATATACATTTCTTTTAAGGAATCGAATAAAGTGATATTTGTTCGAATGATGATGTATCTTTGCGCAGCGTTGACATGTGATTGTATGTTTTATGTGAATGGGCAATTTTTATCCACTGAGGTAATCAATTACATTTACTATGGAACAGCAAAGAATTTTATAAAATTTATATGTGCTATTGTGTTTTCAGTTGGAAAAAATTCCATTGGCATGCTATAGCTGTGAGTGGTTTCACGAATCAAGGGAGTTTAAGATGATCTTGAAAATGATTATAATGCGTTCAAATAAACCATTTTATTTTCAAATATCTTGGTTCACAGTTATGTCTTTGGCCACATTGATGGGTGTAAGTAGATAATAATAATTCGAAATTATTTTCATAGTCATACATATTTAGAATTAATTTTATAAACATACAAGCTCATAAAAATAACAATGTTGTTCACCAGACTCGATCCGCCTACAGATATATCTTTCAACCCGCTGAATTGTAATTTATAAAAACCGATAATATGGCCGTTTCGTTACTAATATATTGTAAGATCTAAACGAAGCAAAATTTTCATGTATTTAAATCCTTTAAACACTAATCTAACCATTTGCTTGTCTTGCCCTACTTGTTTAGTTGTATAATAAGGGGTAATTTGTTAGCTATTATCATTTTGGCAACACTGACTTAAACAGCGGACGCACGTTTGGTCTAAAATTTAACCATGAATCATCTTACAAACGAATAATGCGTGAAAATTATTGAATTTTTTTTATCAAGTTAAGAAAGTTTTTCGCGCGCTTCTTCCATTTTATGGCCTGTTTAATCGACCCACTGAAGTGGCTATTCGGGCTATTGTGACTAAATTTCGCACCAAATTTACATTATTGGACTTTAAACACGATTACGTAGACTGGGAACTGAAGAAAATATCGCAGCTGTATCGGGCGGTGTTAATGATGACCATCTATTATCGATTCGTCGCCGTTCCCAGCAATTGGGCCTCTTTTACTCAACAACGTGGAAACATTTGCGGAATTATTAAAGTTTGAAGCCTTTCAAATTACAGCCGGTGCAAGAATTGAAGCCTAACGACCTACCGCCACGCAGAATTTTTGGTGAATGAACTCTTGAAAAGTTGGCCGAAGGTCCACTTTTTTATCGTAAAATTGTGTTCATCGACGAATCTCATTTTCGGCTTCATTGGTGCGTAAATAAGCAGAATTGTCGATTTCAGAGTGGAGATCAGTCAGAAACATAGCAAGAGCTAGCAATGTATCCAGAAAAAGTTACAATTTGGTGCGGTTTATGGGCTGGTGGCATCATTGGACAGAACTTCTTCAAGGAGGATGCGAATTGTGAAGTAACTGTAAATGGTGAGCGCTACCGTGAGATGATATCATACTTTTTTTTGCCCAAAGTGCAAGAGCTCGACTTGCATGACATGTGGTTTCAACAAGACGATACCTCATGCTACACACCTCTTGCTACTTTTATTTCACGTTCGGGACCGGTCAATTGGCCGATTGGTACGATTTAACGCTGTTAGACTATTTTTTGTAAGGCTATAATATCTATACAGACAAGCTCGCTTCAATCTTTGTATTTGAGAACAACATTGAAGCATTTATTCGTGAGATACCGGCCGCAATGTTGGAAAAAGTATGCACAAATTGGACTAAGCGGATAAACGCATGACGGCACAGTCACGGTCAATTTTTGCATGAAATAATCTTCAAACATCAAATTATATGGACTGTTAAATCTATTCAAATAGAGATTTCTTGTGTATCTGAATGAAATTATAGAACTCGGGTTTGGAGAAAAACGAAGAAGATTAATTGATATTTAAATGCATTGAAAAGCTTTGGTTTTATGTGCGGCTGTTTGTTCGCTTTCACATAAAGCTGAGCTTGATGGATCAAAAATTTATGTAAATTCGTGCTACTCTTGTAACCTCTCTTTATGCAAATTACGAGTCGCGAGAGAATGAGTAAATGCGCGATTGCTTGAAAACGCTATCTATGATGGTGTATTCACCTGAGTTAGGTACTCTTTCATTAATACACACTGTATAAATGTGATGAGTTGAGTTGAACTTCTCTGCAAAAGTGATTCTGTTTCTCAGAAGAGACCTTACAAGATTTACTATGGATTGCTGGAGACCCAATTCTTGAAGAGCCTCCATTACAAATGCAGGAAAAATATTTTTATTGAAATTAGCATGTATATGTATGAAGTGTAGATTTCTATTATTTGTGGTAACGCAAAAGTATTTTACACTTATAAATATATAGAGAACTCCGATTGAGTCACAGTATAATGCAAAATTTTTTTGGTTTATGTTTTAAAAAGTGTATATTCGAGCTTGGCTTGTATCTCGTCGTAGAACTTGGCAGTTCCTTCTTCTTTGTTGGCGTAGGCAACGCTTAAGACGAGCTAACAACATTGTGCCATTCACTTCTCCTTTTCGCAGTTTTGCGCCAATTAGAAATGAGTACAGCCAGGTTCTTCCCTATCTGGTCTTTCCAACAGAACGGAAGATATCTTCCATTACGTCCAGCTGCGGGTACTGCATCAACAACTTTCAAAGCTAAACTGATTTTATCCATCCGAACCACATGTTTCTTGACTCGTTGAACTATGTCAATGTCGACGCTTATCTCATACAGCTCTTAGTTCCATCGGCTGCGGTATTCGAGCAAGTGGTAGAGTTTGGTTTTCATTCGTCAAGAGAGGACTTTTCTTTTCAATTACCTCTTAGCAAGATTGATTCTGGGCTGGATTTCATGGCTGAAATTGCTGTTGGTTTTAATACTGGTTATAAAATAAACGAAGTTATCTGCGACTTCAAAGCTATGACAATGAGGTGTTTATCTCATGATAGGAGATATTTCATTTTGCACTCGTTCATTACCAGACCAATATCCTTCACTACCTTCTCAAGTCTGGAGAGAGCATAACTCAGTTCGAGGTTATAGAGGCCAATAATGTCAATATCATCGGCGTACGTCAACAGCTGCACACTCTTTCAAAAGATTGCATTAAATTAAAGAAGTCGTACGGTAATAATTAACCTTGTCTGGTATGGAACGATACGGAGAGATCCTTCCCTGTCCTGACAGAACTTTTGGTGTTGCTTAACGTTAGTTAACATAGCCGAATGAATTTGCGGCACACCGAATGCCACTGTAGAAGGTGCTGTCCATTAAGCTTCCTGGCAATGGTCGTTATCATAAAGCAAGCCGCTTGCTTCAAGACCAAATCCCGCTCGCAGCCGCACCCCAACACTTATTATTGAGTTATATTTGATTTTTTTTTAATTGAGCACAGATTAGTTCGTAGAGTTTTTTCACAGACTTAATATTTGAACAAAAAACAATAACTAAAATAATAAATTAATCAATGATGTACTCTCCGTTACTGCTTACGACCTCCTTCCACCTCTCGACTAATTTGTTGAAGCCGTTTTGCCCAAAGTCGGCCGGTTTGCTTTGGAAGAAGTTGTTGAGGCAGATTTTAAGTTTCACTTCGCCATCGAAGGTAGTAACCCTCATTTGGTTTGACAGAGAGCGGAAAAGGTGATAGTCGGCAGGCGCAAAGCCGGAGAGAACGGTGGAAGCTAGATTACTTGGCCTTGTCTATCAGGTATTTTCAGCCGAATAACCTAATTTACATGGTTTAGCTGGGCAATGTAGACATCCTTATTGGCAGTGGCGTTTCGTTCGAACATTTCCCATTACACCATGTATTCCCAGTCCCATGATACGCCGATCAAGGTCTTTTTCGGGTGAAGAACTGCTTGACTCTCGGAGTTGGCGTCTCTCCTAAGGCCACCCACTGCTTTCTTTCCTGACGTACATATACCACTCTCATCTACTATAATTATTCGATGCAAAAAGTGCTTTTTGCGCCTACGTGTTGCTGGGCAAAAAAAACAGGTGTCGAAAATGCTGATTTTTTCCTCCTGATAATTTTTATGACAGCCCAATTACGCGTTTCGTTCTCTCAATAGTAATTGGCTCTCCAAATACATGCCGAATTATTTAATTTTCGTGAGCGAAAAGCAGTAACTGAGTAATTCGTTCTCAACCTCCATGCGAATTGCGACCAAATCGATGTCTTCGAATCGATGTCTGCTTTAATTTAAGTGTTGCGGCAGCAAATAAACGTTCGAAAGAATATCAACATAAACGAGTATTACAAACAAGCGGTTTATTGAGTTTTTACATTCAAATTAACAGCACAGTTTTAATATCTAAAATCAAATTATTTTAAATAAAGAACTGTTTTAACAATTCAAAAGACTTACTCTTCGTTTTTCTTTCTTCAAACGTTCTGTACAAACTAAATTTAAAATGAAGCTCATCGTACTTATGTCACAATCAATACGACACACAACTCCGTCAGCACTTTCTTCATTAGAACCAAATAGTATACATGTTTTAAAGTAAATGAAGGTTAAGAACATAAATGTAAAATTGAATAAATGAAAATCTTAAGTTTAATCAGCAACATTAAGAGATGAAAATCATAAAAGAAAACACTAATATACAAACATTTATATGAAACCAAACATCAAGTGCATATTAAAGAAGAGAGAAAATCTTTAATTTTCTATGCATTTTCAAATGGAACAAACAAGCGAAACCGTAAAAAGTCCAATTGCGTGCCGCGTGATTGGGGGAATTCGCATTCCAATAATTTAATTTTTTGTAATAGTGTTCATAGTGTACGGACGTGTTTTATAATCTGCTCCGTGACTTCAGTTAAAGCTAAAAAAACTAGAGCATTTAATCGTGTAAATTCATATATCGGTTGTGTATAACTGTTTAAGTTGGCAATAAACACATAAGAATAAACAAAATACAATATATTACAAAAAAAAATCATTTCTAAATAAACAGAGAAACGAGAACAAAAAGTGAAAAGTGAACCGGCGATGTAATGAGCAAAGAGTGAAATAACTCTCTTCACAACATGTGCAAGTTAACGGCAGCCTCCAAACTGCTTCTAATTGTAAACAAAATTTATCTTTCTGCATATTGCAATTAAAAGCTCGAGCTGCATGCTGATTCTTTTCATGATTTATAGTGGAAATCATTCATTAAAATAACACACTTTGTTGACACAAGTGCCTTCTGCTTCTTTGCAGCTGCAATGAAATATTCTTATTTTATCTTCATTTCAAGGTTAAACTATTTCACAATTTTGTGAAACTATAATTGAGTAAACAATTTTGTAAGCCTATAAATAAGCCTGGATTTATATTTAAGGCTGTCTTTTGAGAATTATGGAGATAAAGACTCGTCCGGCCGAAGCGGACTAAAATCTTCGAATTTTTTTAAAATCGTTGT